CACTCACCTCAGCCTCCCAAAGGCGCGGGATTACAGGCTGAGCCCCTGAGCCCGGCTTAGAAACTTATCTTTTGAAAGAGATTTAAAAATCATAATTTGCCGGGCATGGTGGCAGCTACTTGGAAGGCTAAGGTGGAAGGATCATCTGAGCCCAGTAGGTTAAGGCTGTGGTGGCTGTGATCGTACCACTGTACTCCAGCCTCGGGGGTTACAGAGTGAGACTCTGACCAAAATAAAAAAAAAAGATCATAATGTACCCACTGCCATGTATAGACTTTGGGTACTAATACACACAAATGAACTTTTAAAAAATCCATCTCAGAAATAATCTATTAAGCAACTATACTCACAGTATTACTGTAGTAGCCACAGTTTTACACAGTACTATTTTACACATTAAAAAAAAGACATTTCTGGCCAAGCGCAGTGGCTCATGTCTTATAATCCCAGCACTTTGGGAGGTGGAGGCGAGAAGACTGCTTGAGTCCACGGGTTTGAGACCAGCCTGGGCAACAATGTCGAGACCCCTTCTCTACAATAAATCAAAAAATTAGCTGGGCATAGTGCACACACCTGTCGCTCCAGCTACTTGGAAGGCTGAAGCAGAAGGATCGCCTAAGCTCAGCAGATTGAGGTTGCAGTGGCTATGAATGTGCTACTTCACTACAGATTAGGCAACAGAGTAAGACTCCAACTGGGAAAAAAAAAGACATTTCTATGAAATAGCAAAATAACGTCTCTAAAATAAATCAAGGCCAGGCTCAGTGGCTTAGCCTGTAATCACAGCACTTTGGGAGGGGAAGGCGAGTGGATTGCCTGGGCCCACGGGTTTGATGCCAGCCTGGGCAATTTGGCGAGACCTTGTTTCTACAATAAATAATAAAAAGCATCCTGGCAGCCGGGCTCGGTGGCTCAGCCTGTAATCCCACGCCTTTGGGAGGCTGAGGTGAGTGGATTCCTGAGCCTTGGATTGCCTGATTTGAGATCCGCCTGGGCAGCGAGACCTCATCTCTACAATAAATAAAAAAATCAGCTGGGCGTGGTAGCACATGCTTGTAATTCTGGCTACTTGGAAGGCTGAGGAGGAAAGATCGCCGGAGCCCAGCAGGTCAAGGCTGCAGTGGCTGGGAGCGGCCACTGCACTCCAGTCTGGGCGACCGAGTGAGACTTCAACTCCAAAAAAAAATCATCCTGGCATGGTAGCGCATGCCTGTAGTTCCGGCTACATGGAAGGCTGAGGCGGAAGGATTACATGAACCTAGCAGATTGACACTGGGGTGGCCGTGAGTATACCACAGCACTTCACCCTAAGCAACAGTGAGACTCCAACTCAAAAAAAAATAATTAAATTAAGTTAAATAAATAAAAAAATTAGCTGGGCGTGGTGGCCTGCACGTGTGGTTCCAACTGTTTGGAAGGCTTGGATGTAAGGATCACCTAAACCCAGCAGGTTGAGGCTGCGGTGGCCGTGAGCGTGCCATTGCAACTCCAGCCTGGATGACAGAGTGAGACTCTGAGTCATAAATAAATAAAAAGTTTTCCTCTTCATACTGTTTGTTGAAGAAACAGGGTCATTTGCTCTGTAATATAGGAAGCTATTAAAGTGTCTTATTTTGCCAGGCGCAGTGGCTCACATCTATAATCCCAGCACTTTTGATGCCGAGGTGAGAGGATTACTTGAGCCTACGGGTTAGAGACCAGCCTAGGCAACTTGGCAAGACCTCATTTTTACAATAAATCAAAAAATTAGTTGGGCGTGTTAGCACTTGCTTGTAGTTCCACTTGATTGTAGTTATTTGGAAGGCTGAGCCCAGCAGGTTGAGGCTGTGGTGGTCGGGAGCATGCTACTGTCCTCCAGCCTGGGTGACAGAGTGAGACTCCAACTCAAAAAAAAAAAGTGTCTTATTTTTCAAAATACAAATATTGCTAATTGGATGCCTGGTGCATAGAATGTCCTCAGTATATTTTTTTGGTGAGTAAATCAGCTACCTCAAAAACCAGGCTTTTGTTTTCTGAAGCTCCTTCCTTCTAAGAAGGTCATCCTGGTCACTGAAGTACTTCTGTCTTTGCATTTACTTTCCAAAAACAGCCGTGATGGAGCTCTGTGTTTGAACTGCTGGGAGCTGGTTTGGCCTGCTCTGACAGATGTTAAATATGACCTGACCATGGTTTTGAGTCCTAAAGAACTCCTGTTGTTTAGCCACTGGCGTTCTTGCCTCCTTCCTTAGCTTGTTTCTGTAGCTGGTTAGCTCTGACTGGACAGTAAGTACATATGAAGCTTACCCTGAGGTAGAAGAGTTCAGTTTGATAGGCATTAAAGAATAACCATCTTGGGAAGGAAAGAAATTGGGGAGCAAATGGGATGAAATAAATATGAAATAATTCATTATAGTAGTCTTTAAAAATTTAATTTTTTCCTGGAAGTGAATCTTGCTCTGTTTCCCAGGTTGGGGTGCAGTGACGCCATCCCAGTTCACTGCAGTCCTGAATTTTGGGCACAAGCTATCCTTCTACCTCAGCTTCCCAAGAAGGAATCTGAGGTGGCGGTGAGCTGTGATTGCACCATTGCACTCCAACCTGGGTAACACAGCGAGATCTTGTCTTTATTTTTGTTTTTGTTTGAGTCAGGGTGTCTCACTCTGTTGCCCAGGCTGGAGTTAGTGGCATGCTCACGGCCACTTGGACTCAGGCAGTCTTCTTGCCTCGGCCTCCCAAAGAGACCCTGTCTTTAGAAAACAAAAAAAGCCGGGTGAGGTGACTCATGCTTGTAATCCCAGCACTGGGGGAGGCGAGAAGATTGCCTGAGCCCAAGTTGCCCAGGGGTTCGAGACTAGCCTGGGCAACTTGTTGAGACCTTGTCTCTACAATGAATCACAAAAAAACTAGCTGGGCGTGGGTGGCATGCATCTGTAGTTCCAGCTGCTTGGAAGGCTGAGGCGGGAGCATCACCTGAGTCCAGCAGATTGAGGCTGTGGTGGCCATGATCATGCCACTGTACTCCAGCCTGGGTGACAGAGTGAGACTCCTACTCAAAAAAAAAGTTTGAATTCAGGTGGTAATAAAGTTTTTGGTTTTGTAGGTTCACTTTACAACTCTTATTATCTTTTAAAATATTTATTTGTTTATTTAGAGTCAGGCTTTTGCCCTGTTGCCCAGGCTGTGCTACAGTGGCATGATCACAACTCGCCACACACAGCCTTGACCTCCTTGGCTCAGGCAATCCTTCTGCCTCAGCCTCCCAAGTAGCTGGGACTACAGGTACATGCTACCACACCCAGCTATTTCTTTCTTTCTGTATTATTTTTTTGTAGGAATGAAGTCTCGCTGTGTTGCCTAGGCTGGTCTTGATTTTAGGCCAAGCAGTTCTCTTGCCTCAGCCTCCCAAAGTGCTTGGATTATAGGCCTGAGCTACCACTCAGCTGACTTTACAACTTTTAAAATTGTATTTTGATTAAATGTGTCTGGGAAAAATTCACCATGCTCTTTTAATAGTAGCATTCATTGACCTTGTCTAGTGTTTATTGAATTTTTCTGTTGCTGCTGTTCATTCAGGAGCTGCCTATTGTCAGTTTATGGACATGCTGTTCCCTGGCTCCATTGCCTTGAAGAAAGTGAAATTCCAAGCTAAGCTAGAACATGAGTACATCCAGAACTTCAAGATACTTCAAGCAGGTTTTAAGAGAATGGGTGTTGACAAAGTAAGTAAATGTTATTCTTGTATTTAGGTTAGTATTTCTTAACCAGTGATTGTTAGTGAGGATACAGATGCTAGCCTATGACTTTGGATGTTTTCCTTTCTTCTCCCAGTTTACTTAGTTATCTTTTCTCAGTTAACATAGTGTGTAATGGAGCAAAGTCTGCCCTTTGATCTTCACTCTCTTGGGTGTCTTCTGTTTTCATTGTTTGCAAAGTTAATGACTGCTGGAGGAGTCTACCTGAAAGTTTGCACTAGTGATTTAAAAGAGAACTATTACTGTTTTTAATCTGTTAGTCTGAGATCTAATTCTCTTAATCTCTGGAATTTACTTCTGTGAGCATACTGTTTGTAGAATAAGTTTCAGTAGAGCAGATTCTAGAAATACTTGCTTTTTTTTTGAGTTGCCCAGGCTGGAGTGCAGTGGTACGCATGCTCACAGCCACTCCGCTGATTCTTCCCTCTCAGCCTTCCAAAAGTAGCCAGAACTGTAGCTGCCCGCTACCATGCCCGGCTATTTTTAATTTTATTGTAGAGACGAAGTCTCGCCAAGTTGCCTGGGCTGGCAATCTACTTGCCTCGGCCTCCCAAAGTGCTAGGTTTACAGGCTGAACCACTGAGCCCAGTCAATACTTGCTTTTTTATAGCATGGTATAAGGGGGATTCTTGGTGGGTGCTGGGAAGCTCTCTCCTGACCCCAAGGTTATATGAAGGTACCAGAAACGTCACCCAGGCTTCATTTGCACAAACATTACCATGTTAAATAGATAATAGATGATTGCAAAATTCAGTAGTTCATTTCTCTCTACCTCTTTAGAGATTTTATTCTTTTAAGCTGTTCTTTGAGGATGATAACCTTTTTTTTTTGGTAAAGCTTGTAATGGCTTCTAATTATTTTGCTGTCGTGTCTGATTTTTATTTGTTTTACAATCAGCCTAATTTTTTATAAATTTTCGTTTTGTCACTATATAAAATATTAGACATTTGTAGTACAAGAATATCATTTAGTTTCCAGACATAGTGTAAATACATGTACTTTATATACAATAACTTTTCTAGTCTTTTTTATGGAGTTACATTTTATTTATTTATTTATTTTTTGAGTTGGAGTCTCACTCTGTCGACCAGACTGGAGTGCAGTGGCTGTTCCCGGCCACCGCAGCCTCGATCTGCTGGGCTCCAGTGATCCTTCCACCCCAACCTTCCAAGTAGCTGGAACTACAGGCGTATACTGCCACGCCTGGCTAATTTTTTGATTTATTGTAGAGATGAGGTCTCGCCTGCCCAGGCGGGTCTCGAACCCGCGCACTCAGGCAATCCACTCACCTCAGCCTCCCAGAGGCGCGGGATTACAGGCTGAGCCACCGAGCCCAGCTAACATTTTATTTTTTAATATGGAAAGTTTCTAAGTATACAGATGTAATAATGAATAGTGTATAAATAGTAAATAATGTAATAAGAAGTAAATAAATAGTGTAATGATCCTTCATGTACCTCAACAGTTAGCACTGCCAGTTTTGTTTCTTTCTTTCTTTTTTTTGAGTTGGAGTCTCACTCTGTCACCCAGACTGGAGTGCAGTGGTTGCTCCCGTGCACCGCAGCCTTGACCTGCTGGGCTCCGGCGATCCTTCTGCCTCAGCTTTCCAAGTAGCTGGAACTACAGGCGCGCGCTACCACACCCGACTAATGTTTTGACTTTTATTGTAGAGATGAGGTCTCACCAAGTTGCCCAGGCGGGTCTCGAACCTGTGGGCTCAGGCAATCCGCTCACCTCGGCCTCCCAAAGCGCGGGATTACAGGCTGAGCCACCGAGCCCAGCCAGTTTTGTTTCAGATCTATCTGTATCCTACCTATATTCTTGGGTTATTTTATTTAGTTTTTTGAGTTGGTGTCTCATTTTCACCCAGGCTAGAGTGCAGTGGTACAGTCATGGCCACTGCAGCTGCAGCCTGCTGGGCTCAGGTGATCCTTCTGCTTTAGCCTTCCAAGTAGCTGGAACTACAAGTGTAAGCCACCACACCTGGCTTTTTTTCTTTTTAAATTGTAGAGACGAGATCTCACCAAGTTGTCCAGGCTGATCTTGAACCTCTGGGCTCAGGGTTCTTGCCTCAGTCTCCCATAGTGCTAGGATTATAGGTGTGAGCTACCGTGCCTGGCTTCTTGAGTTATTTTGAAGTGAGTCCATAGTATTTTATTTGTAAATGTTTTAACATCATACAAGGTAATTTTATTTTATTTAATTAATTAATGTTCTTTTTTTTTTTGAGTTGGAGTCTCACTCTGTCGCCCAGACTGGAGTGCAGTGGCAAACTCCCAGCCACCCCAGTGTCGGCCTGCTAGGCTCAGGTGATACTTCCGCTTCAGTCTTCCAAGTAGCTAGAACTACAGGCATGTGCCACCATGCCCAGCTAATTTTTCTTGATTTATTGTAGAGACAGGATCTCACCAAGTTGCCCAGGCTGGTCGCGAACCCCTGTGCTCAGCCAGTTTTCTAATCTCAGCCTCCCAAAGTGCTGGGATTATAGGCTTGAGCCACTGCACCCAGCCCATACATTGTTTTAATAGGATTGGAATTATATGTCCTGAGACTGATTCTCTACCTTGATCTATTTTTAAGTCCGAATTTTCATTAACACAGTTTGTTGTAGATGCCAGTGTTTTTTTTACTTTGTGCCAGGCACTGTGACTGTACACGTTACATGGGGGGCTTACTCTTTATGGTGATATTACTCTTGTATCATGTCTAAGGATGTGTCTGGATGTGTGTGACTTATCCTTGTTCCTTTTTTTGTTTCTGATTCCTTTTCATCAATTTGAGGGTGTAGAGAAGGACTGGAAGTGTAAGCACACTGTTGAGGGCAAACTGAACAACACTTGCCATATCAACCTCTAGGGACATAGCACCAAGTTCTCAAAAATATGTTTTTTCTCATTTCAGCAGTGCTTTATAATAGTTTGATGCATGGATAAGTTTGTTGCTTCTCACTTTGGGCTAAACATTCTTGAATTTTCTCTGCAGATAATTCCTGTGGATAAATTAGTAAAAGGAAAATTTCAGGACAATTTTGAATTTGTTCAGTGGTTCAAGAAGTTTTTTGATGCAAACTATGATGGAAAAGACTATGACCCTGTGGCTGCCAGACAAGGTCAAGAAACTGCAGTGGCTCCCTCCCTTGTTGCTCCAGCACTGAATAAACCGAAGAAACCTCTCAGCTCTAGCAGTGCAGGTAAAAAGACAGCAACCCAAAACATCATTCCTAAATAATAACATTCCAGGTATCTGTCCAATATTCAACCAGAATTTTTTGAGTAGCCATAGGCTGAGTGAGGCATCTTAACTCATTTGTGATCACTGACGTGAATTCATGTCATTTCAAATTCTGTTACTGGTTGCTGCTGGTGCGAACTTACTTCTTTGCAAATTCTGTTTGTGAATGCTGCAGCGTTGTCATATGCATGTGTTGTTTTGTTTTTTTGAGTTGGAGTCTCACTCTGTCGCCCAGACTGGAGTGCAGTGGCCGCTCCCGGCCACCGCAGCCTCGACCTGCTGGGCTCTGGCGATCCTTCCGCCTCAGCCTTCCAAGTAGCTGGAACTACAGGCGCGTGCTACCATGCTCGGCTAATTTTTGATTTATTGTAGAGATGAGGTCTCGCCAAGTTGCCCAGGTGGGTCTCTGAACCTGCGGGCTCAGGCAATCCACTCACCTCGGCCTCCCAAAGCGCGGGATTACAGGCTGAGTCACCGAGCCAGGCTATATGTGTTATTATGTTTTGTGTAAAAATGAGTAGTCAGGCAAGGAGAGAGAAAGTTAATTGAGATGATTATCTGATATCAACTATCCAATGTTGTTACTGTTTTACATAGTTGGTAAAAATTCTAAGTTGGTCATTATTTGCCGTGATTAGTGTTGTATGCTTGTATTTTGATATTTCAGGGCTTTCATACTTCAACATTAAAAATAACTTACCATAATTATGGAAAATGAAGAAATATATGCTGATGAGATTTCCAAGGTCGAAGGTGAATCCAGTGAACTTATTAGTGATAGTGAGACAGATAATGATGTAACGATGCAGTGTAAACAAAGAAATATAATGCAGATAATCTATGACACTGAATCTTGTACTGGTGAGAACAAATCAGACATCGAGTAGACAAAATATGATCCAAAAAGAAACTTAGAAGTGTTTATTAGTGGGCTGGGCATGGTGGCTCACACCTGTAATCCCAGCACTTTGGGATGTAGAGGCGAGAGGATTGCCTGAGCGTGTGGGTGTGAGACCAGCCTAGGCGACATGACGAGACTGTGTCTCCACAATAAATAAAAAAATTAGCCAAGTGTGTTAGTGCATGCCTGTAGTTCCAGCTACTTGGAAGACTGAAGTGGAAGGATCACCTGAACCCAGCAGGTTGAAGCTGTGGTGGCCGTATGCAGCTTGCCACTGCATTCCAGCTTGGGTGACAGAGTGAAACTGTGACTCAAAATAAATAAGTAAATAAAAGTGTTTATTAGTAATCTAGGTGTCAAGATATTTCCAAATGATTCTCAAAGTATAAATGAAGTTGTCAGACTATTTATGGAGATTATTTTATAGAAGTGATTGCAACTGAAACTAATAGGTGTTATGATCAGATGTACCCTAGATATAAATGTCCAAAGAAGAAAAAGTGAGCAATACTACAGTGCCTGAATTGAAAAAATTTCTAGCATTAAATATTTTGATGGGACAAGTAATGGAAATGACAATATATGATTATTGATCAACTCATCCATCAGTTGTGATGCCTTTCTTTTTAAAAATAATGACATGAAGCCAGGCTCGGTGGCTCAGCCTGTAATCCCAGTGCTTTGGGAGGCTGAGGTGAGTAGATCGCCTGAGCCCACGGGTTCGAGACCCACCTGGGAAGCTTGGTGAGACTTCATCTCTACAATAAATCAAAAATTAGCCGGGTGTGGTAGCGCGTACCTATAATTCCAGCTACTTGGAGGGCTGAGGCGGAAGGATCACTGGAACCCAGCAGGTTGAGGCTGCGTTGGCTGGGGGCATCCACTGCACTCCAGTCTGGGTGTCAGAGTGAGACTCCAACTCAAAAAAAAAAAAAAAATTATGACACGAAATAGATTTCCTACAAATATTGTGGTTTTTGTATTTTTTCAATAATGCAGAAATGCAGTCAAATCCAAGCAGATTATGCAAAATTGAACCCATAATAAATTATGTTTTAAATAAGTTCAATAAAGTATCCACAAAAATGTTGTAGAGTCTGCAAAGTTCATGGAAAATGTACTGGCACTACATTTATATGCAAATCCTTTAGAATTCTTTATGCAAAGTTTGTTGTTTTATGATTTATCACACGAAACAGGAATATTAAATTTCCTTTTTCCAGCCGAGCTCGGTGGCTCAGCCTGTATCCCACGCCTTTGGGAGGCTGAGGTGAGTGGATTGCCTGAGCCCATGGGTTCGAGACCCTCCTGGGCAACTTGGCGAGACCTCATCTCTACAATTAATCAAAAATCAGCCGGGCTTGGCAGCGCGTACCTGTAGTTCCAGCTACTCGGAAGGCTGAGGCGGAAGGATTGCCGGAACCCAGCAGGTCGAGGCTGCGGTGGCCGGGAGTGGCCACTGCACTTCAGTCTGGGTGACAGAGTGAGACTCCAACTCAAAAAAAAAAATTTCCTTTTTCCATTTTGTATTTCCAAGATACATGCAAAGTATTTCTAAATAAACATAACAATAACAAGTAGTGTATTATATACCTAAAAATCAAGTATGCAAAACCACATCCAGTATAATTTATACAACCCTGGTGTTGGAGTCTCACTCTGTCGCCCAGGCTGGAGTGCAGTGGCACACTCACAGCCACCACAGCATTGACCTGCTGGACTCATGTAATCTTTCCATGTTGGCCTTCTGAGTAGCTCGGACCAGGGGCTACAGACATGCTCCACCATGCCCAGCTAATTTTTTGACTTAGTGAGGAGACAAGGTCTCTCCAAGTTGCCCGGGCTGGTCTCACATCCCTGGACTCAGACAATCCTATTGCCTCTGCCTCTCAAAGTGCTGGGATTATAGACATGAGCCATCGTGCCTAGCCTCAGCTAATTTTGGAAATTTTTTATAGAGACAATTCCTTGCTATGTTGCCCAGACTGGCCTCGAACTCGTGGCCTCAAGCCATCCTCCTGCTTTAGCCTCCCAGAATGCTGGGATTTAGGTATGAGTCACTGGGTCAGCTGGTTGAATACTACTTTTTTTTTTGAGTTGGAGTCTCACTCTGTCGCCCAGGCTGGAGTGCAGTCGCACGCTTATAGCCACTGCAGCCTCGACCTGCTGGGCTCAGGCAGTCCTTCTGTCTCGGCCTTCCAAGTAGCTAGAACCACAGACGCATACCACCACACCTGGCTGGTTTTTGTGATTTATTGTAGAGACAAGGTCTCACCCAGTTGCCCAGACTGGTCTCGAACCCCTGGGCTTAGGTAGTCCTCTCGCCTTGGCCTCCCCAAGTGCTGGCATTACGGACTGAGCCACTGTGCCCGGCCCGGTTGAATACTTCTTAAACAGCTTTGTGGAGACATCATTCACATGCCGTACATTCAAATCCATTGATTTTTAGGATATTCAAAGAGTCGTGTAACCATTATCACAGTCCATTTTATAACGTTTTCATCACTCCAAAAGAAACCTCATGCTTACTCAATGGCAGTCATTTCCTACTTTCCCCCAACTCTTCCCTGCCTTAGGGAACCATTAGTCTGCTTTCTTTCACTATGGATTTGCCTGTTGAGGATGTTGATTCATCAGCTGATGGTCATTTGGATTGTTTCCACTTTTTGACTCATGAATAGTGCTGCTGTCAACATTCATGTCCAGTTTCTCCGGACTTGTGTTTGAACTTCTCTTGAATGTGAACCCAAGAGCATATGCTCTTAGAGCAGAATTGCTGGGCCACATCGTGATTCTGTGCTGAGCCTTTTGCAGAGCTGCGTGTTTCCCTAAGTGACAACCATTTAATTCCCATCATTAGTATATGAGGGCTCCAGTTTCTCTAGCTGTGGAGTGCCTTGGGCTGTTTTCATAATGGGGAACTGCATAGATAACCCTGCACAATTTATGTTTCAGAATCTGCTCACAGTTGAGTACAGACTTGCATTAAGCACTTAGTCTTTGGGAATAATATAGAGAGCCATGCAGAGGAAATGCCTGTCACTGTGGGGAGAAAGGCCTTCTGATTATAGAGCTTGGGTGTCAGGAGATTAGATATTTCAAAGCCTGGCGTAGTGTGTAGACTTTACAAAATAATTGCTAAGTGAATAAGTCACGAAGGATACACTGACCTTGAAGCATTCTATTTTTGATTTTTGTAACTTATAGATAGGTTGTCACCTTTACCGAATCTTTCTCCTTGTCTCTGTCTGCTTTTGTCTGTAAATATTGAGAGAAGTATAAATTCTAGTCAGTGCCTCTCCTGACCCTTTGAAACCTAAAAAAGGTGAGCAGAGATACAGATTTTGAAGTAATTAGTGGTAAGAGCAGGCTCTTCCACTGTTATGAACTCCTTTATCTTCCCAGCCAAGGAGTCTGAGGTTTGGAGTAAGGAGTATCTGATTTTCCAGGTGGGGGACAGTGGGCACCTCACAACAGCTGGGACTCTGAGCTATGTCCTGGTGTGAAGTTTGCTTTTACTTCATGAAGCTGCCCTCTTTGGGGGTTTGTTTGGAACTGGGTTAAGGTCGGTCATCTGTGGCACCAGAATAACTGTACCTCTTTCAGATGATAGTCCTATTCATCGCATCGGAGAAAAGAGCTCACTGAAGGACTTATTCCCAGCATGAAGGATCGTGGCTAAGACTGGTACTTAATTCTGCTATAAGGATGAAAGCCACTTCAGATCGTGTGTGATGGCTTATGCCTGTCATCCCAGTACTTTGGGAGGTGGAGGCAAGAGGATTGCCTGAGTCTGAGGGTTCAAGACCAGCCTGGGCAACTTGGCGAGACTTTGTCTCTACAATAAACAAAAATATTAGCTGGGTGTGGTGGTGTGCGCCTGTAGTTCCAGCTACTTGGAAGGCTAAAGCGGAAGGATCGCCTGAGTCCAGCAGGTCAGGGCTGCGGTTGCCATTAGCATGCCACTGTACTCCAGCTTGGGCAACAGAGTGAGACTCCAACTCAAAAAAAAAAATCACTTCAGGCAATTGTGGGGTGCTGTCTTGCATGCTGGGGCTCTCTTAGCATTGGTTCTCTTCACAGAGCACCTGTGGAAGGCAGCTGGTTTCTCCCTTGTTGTCTTGTGGTTTTTTTTTTTTTGTCTTTGAAATTTCTCATTTTAATTCATTGGCAACCGCTGACGTGAATTTACATCATTCCAAATTCTGTTCCTGGTTGCCGCTGACTGTGAATTTACCTCATTGAGGAGGACTATTTTTTTGAGTTTATAATCCGAATAAAAACACAAAGTATGAAATGCTAGTCAGAGTGATGTCTGAGGCAAACACTGAATATGTCTGTAACTTTCAGCTATATTGTGAAAAGGTGACAATTAAGAAAAGACCATTTCACTTTGTGCTTAATGACAGGTTTGTGGCATCCAGCTTCAGATTTTTTTATTTTCACCTGCTCTCAGTAGTGAAAAATTTGCTAGTTGTGAATTTGTTTAAAAACTTGTGCTCCTTTTTCAGCTCCCCAGAGGCCCATTTCAACACAGAGGACTACTGCAGCTACTAAGGCTGGCCCTGGGGTAGTGCGAAAGAATCCTGGTGTGGGCAATGGGGATGACGAGGCCGCTGAGTTGATGCAGCAGGTAGGTTCCTCCTATGTCGAAGACCTGAGTCACTTTGGGGAGAAGACACTTGCTACAGTGACCAGGGGAGCTGTGTGGTTAGAGGAAGACCTCTCTTGTCTGCTTGCTGGAGCACATGCTGCTTGGATGCTGAGTGGGGAGCACGAGGGTGGAGGTGGAAAAGGAGGGTTCAGACATGTTTGAGCTCTCTTGGTGTGACAGAAGCCCGTGTCTGTTTGGAAACTACCCCTTAGAGTGGAACCTGTTGAATGTTTCTGGTATGCTTTCAGGATTCTGGGATCCAGAGGGTGAAAGATGCAGGAAGACTTCTTTCTGAATACTAATTTTATTGTTATTATTTATTTATTTATTTTTGGGTCAGGGTCTCACTCTTTTGCCCAGACTGGACTGTGGTGGCATAATCATGGCTCACTACAGCCTTGACCTCCTGGGCTCAGGCGATCCTTCTACCTCAGCCTCCCAAGTAGCTGGGACTACAAGTGCATGTCAGCTCACCCAGCTGTTTTAAAAAAGTTTTTTTGTAGTGAAGAGATCTCATGATGTTATCTGGGCTGGTCTTGGATTCCTGGACTTAAGCGGTCCTTCCACCTCAGCCTCCCAAAGTGCTGGGATTACATGTATGATCCATTGTGCCCGGCCCTGAATAGTAATTTTATAAAAGATTGCACAATCTCTCTGCTGAGTCTCAGGGACGTTGGAAATTGGAGTTGAACTGTTATGAGAAACCTGTTGCTCTTCTGGTTTTATTCTTAATAGTTTAGTAATTTGAAATGTCTTCTTCAGGATTAAATATCCTTAAGTACTTGTCAGAGGTCTCTGCTGATGAGAACAAATTTTAGGCTTGTAGACATTTTCACCCTAATCCTTATAGTTTTGTTTGTTTTTGGACAATTCTTTTGGTTAATTCCTTTTTTTTTCTTTTTGAGTTGGAGTCTCACTCTGTCACCCAGACTGGAGTGCAGTGGTCGCTCCCGGCCACCGCAGCCTCGACCTGCTGGGCTCCAGCGATCCTTCCGCCTCAGCCTTCCAAGTAGCCATAACTACAGGCATGTGCCACCACACCCAGCTAATTTTTTGATTTACTGTAGAGACGAGGGAGGTCTCACCAAGTTGCCTAGGCTGGTCTTGAACCCACAGGCTCAGGCAATCCACTCACCTCAGCCTTCCAAAGATGGGATTACAGGCTGAGCCACCGAGCCCGGCTTGGTTAATTCCATTTTTAAAGTTTCATTGAAATTCCACCAAAGTTCTATGATTCTAGCGAGTTTGGGATTGAAACCTTTTACTTAAAGGCCAAGTCCTAACACTTGGGGAAATAACCTCTCTTTAGTGCAGAAACACCTGTGACCCACACCATACTTCTAAGCGAGCAGGACAGTGGGCACCTGCCTGAAGGTCACGTTTCATTTTTTAAATTCTTTTGTTGGTGTGTGCCCCACATCGTTGGGCCTTGGGTGTTTTGAGGTGACTGGGTCACCATCCTCATCCTTGGAGTCAGTATGGGTGACTCGAACACCCTCTGGGCACTTTGCTGTGAAGTGGAGAATAAGGAGACTTCCTTGTAACTTTGTTTCAAGGTATGGATGTACACAGGAAAGGGTTTCAGAGAAAAATACAAGAGGGTCAAGGCCAGGCAGTAAAGATCAAGTGAGTTGATCTTATGCTCTCCAAGGTAAGGTGTGCCAGATTCTGTGTCACTGCTGCAGTCAGCTCAGCTTGTGACCTGTGTGATGGAACACAGTCTTTGGGTTACATAGACCGGGGCACAAGCAAGGCAGCTCTGGATTTATGGCTGAGCGTAGTAGTTCCTGTATATAATCCCAGCACTTTGGAAGGCTGAGGTGGGAGGACCAGTTGAGGGCAACAGTTCAAGACCAGCCTGGGTAACACAGCAAGACCTCTTCTCTACAAAACAAACAAAAGGAGTGGTTCTGCACTTCTACCTGAACTTACTGCCTCAAGTATGAAGTGGAGCTAATACCTGCTCATGGTAATCGAACACATTACATGAGCTGATGTTAAGTCAGGTGCTATGAATGGTGTTTGGTACCAACTCCGCTGGGATCATTGCTCGTGGATAAAAGACATTTGTGATTATTATGGTTCCTGTCCGTGATCTTGATAGAGTAGAATAGGTTCTAACGTTTTCTTTAGAAGTGCCCAGGAACCAGACTTATTTTTAGCTTGTATGATATAATATGCATGAATGGTCATAACAAAAATAGCTAATATTGAGGCGTCTAAGCACCGTGATTTCACTTTTGGGCCAGGTGTGGTGGCTCACGTCTGTAATCCCAGCACTTTGGGAAGCTAAGGCTGGAGGATTGCTTGAGGCCAGGAGTTCAAGATCAGCCTGGATGACATAGTAAGACACCATCTTTACCAAAAACAAAAAAAATTATCCAAGTGTAGTGGTGTGTTACTCAGGAGACTAAGGCGGGAGGGTTGCTTGAGCCCAGGAGTGGAAGACTGTAGTGGGCTGTGCTCATGCCACTGCACTCCAGGCTGGGCAACAAAGTGAGATCCTGACTCCAAAAAAGTCCACATTTGTGACAACCCTATGGGGTTTAACATATACGGTTCAGTGTGGTTCAGAGAAGGTCAGTCACTCGAGCAGAATTTGAACCCAGATATTCTTGGCTCCAGAGCCCAGTGGATCAGGTTGCCTGGGCTGCTTGCTGAGTGAGGAGTGGAGGCAGTTGTTTCTTGCACCCACCATTGGAAATGGTCATTAGTCACCAGTTACTCTGGGCAAATTGCTGCTAAGCATTGGAGAGAATACCAAGACACAGAATATCTGGCTTAGTCCTAAAAGGGGTTTCTGATGTAGTCGGAGAAAATTGACTTGGTGTCAGCCTGTGATAAGTCCCAGATGAGGGATATAGGAGCAAGAACTACAAGTCTTGCTAGATAAAGTGTCGGAGTCTCGGAACTTCCTTCCCTGAGAGGGTGCCCAGAATTAGCTGGTTTGAATGGCTAGTACAGTAGCAATGAGGTTGGAAGGGGTTGTGGTCTTTTTCTGAGTCAGAGTCTCACTCTTTTGCCCAGGCTGAAGTGCAATGGCATGCTCACGGCCACCATAGCTTCGACCTGCTGTGTTCAGGTGATCCTTCTGATAGCTGGAACTACAGGCGTGCACCACCATGCCCGGCTAACTTTTAAATTTATTCTAGAGATGAGGTCTCGCCATGTTGCCCAGGTTGGTTTTGAGCCTGTGGGCTCAGGCAGTTCTTTTGCCTCTGCCTCCCAAAGTGCTGGGATTATAGATGTGAGCCATGGCACCCGGTGGATTGTGGTCCTGAAGAGAAGGTTTAGAACTCTTGTGTGGTTGTGTGGATGTGGAACGTTGAAAGTCTAAGGTTGCAGAGCCTGGAAGTTGACTAGCCAGGTGCTTGGTTGATCCTGGAAGGCTGGGGCCCAGTGCTCATGCCCAACTGGTACAGCCCTGCCTTACGGGTTCTGTGTTTGACCTACACAGGGCTTTTTATTTTTATTTTTGAGTTGGAGTTTCACTCTGTTGCCCAGGCTGGAGTGCAGTGGCATGCTCATGCCACCGCAGCCATGACCTGTTGAACTCAGTTGATCTTTCTGCCTCAGCCTTCCGAGTAGCTGGAACTACAGGCAGGTGCCATCATGCTTGGCTAATTTTTCTTGACTTATTATAGAGATGAGGTCTCACCAAGTTACCAAGGCTGATCTCGAACCCGTGGGTTCAGGCAGTTCTGTCACCTTGGCCTCCCAAAGTGCTGGGATTGTAGGTGTGAGCCACCGTGTCTGGCCTCTGCACAGGGCTTTAGAGTTTTGGTTTTTGGTTTTTTTTTGTTTTTAATATGAAGAATTTTAGTCTCTCTCCAGGTTGCCAAAGTCCTTACCATATCCTGTTACTGATTGTCTTGGCTGATTTACATTATCTATAAAGTTTTCATAGCCTCATTAATAAGCATTTAGAGGAATGCCAGGTGACACCAGTGACTTAGTACATATTTATTGAGTACTTTCAGTATATACGTAGTTATTGAGTGATACTGTGGACAGATACTTCTTACAGGGAAAGTTTTTTTTTTTTTCGAGTTGGAGTCTCACTCTGTTGCCCAGACTGGAGTGCAGTGGCACGCTGACGGCCACCGCAGCCTCGACTTGCTAGGCTCAGGCGATCCTTTGGCTTCAGCCTTCCAAGTAGCTGGAATTACAGGTGTACGCTACCATGCCTAGCTAATTTTTTGATTTATTGTAGAGACGAGGTCTCACTAAGTTGCCTGGGTCTCGAATCTCTGGACTTCCACCCTCCACCTCTCAGAGTGCTGGGATTAGAGACTTGAGCCACCGCACCTGCCTACAGGGAAGGTTTTAATGGGTTAGTGAAGATGGCACTAGTGGAACATGGGTGTACAGGTGGTCTTCAGGCCAGCATTCCTTTTTAAGCTGTTTTGACTTTTTTTCCTTTTCATGCTACCAGTCGTGTGGTTAGAAGATCCCTTTCCTGCCCCTTGTATGAACTAAAGCTCTGAGGCAGCTTCTTGCTGCTGGGGTTGGGCAGCTCTTGCTCTCAGCACCCTGCTTGTACCCCACTTTGGGGCTGTTAGTTTTAGGAGAGGCAGCATACTGGGAGGATGGGGACTTGAGTGATTTAGTTTTGCTGGCTTCTAAGCAGTAGTAATACTTTACTGAAACTTTAAATTATTTTTAGTTTCTGTGGTTGATAAAGGCAGGTATAATGAAAGGCTTTCTACAACTGTGATTCTAGTTTTGTCTGGTCAGAACTTGGATGATGAACTTTGAAGTTAGAACTTTGACAGAATTTTCCTGGTGGTCCCCGTCACCTGCTCTCTGGGTGCTTGATTGCAAGTTGGAAAGGGGGAACTTTCTTCTACCCTAGAACAAGACTTAATCCCCTCCATTGTGTTTGGCTTCTTCATCAGACAGTGGGGAAGCTAGATAAACTGTTTGTTTCTGTTATTAAATTGTATTTATTTTTAAAAGACAGGGTCTTGCTATGTTGCCAAGCTGGCCTTGAACCTCTGGGCTAAGACAATCTTACCTCAGCCTCCTGAGTAACTGGGACCATGGTGTGCATACCATGCCAGCTTCTGTTTGCAGCTATAAGTTCAGGAGGTTGGATTAGATGACTTCTATGGTCCCTTCTGTCTCAGGATACCCTGCTGCCCAGACTGTTCTTGGTGGCGTCACATTTGATTTCCTGGCATGCCTTTCCATGCTGTGCTGTGACCCTCACCTATAAACACAGGCTCTTATGAGGGTTTCATACTGCACATTACGCCACACAATTTGCATTCAGTGCCACAGATGAGCCGACAGTACACTAGGATGAAGATGGACCACAGTTAATGGGCACAAAGAACTGTGAGTGTTGTTACGATTCTATTGCTCTTGGCTAGGTAGAGTCTTGGCCTGAGTGCTGAGATTTCTTTATCACCTCCTTATGGGAATCACAATCCCACAGTAGGGCTCATGAAGGTTCAGACTCCCTCCGCAGGTCACTAGACTTGGACTCAATTGGCCAGTCCCTGGTCAGGACTCCATTTAGAATGTCAGCAACCTTGCTGGGCAGGGTGTGGATTCTGCTTCTGTATTTGTCTCTGGCTTTCTAGTATTTTGTCCTTGATCCTTGCGGTCCCTGAGAAATTCTTCCCTGTAAGGTGTAGTCTGCCCGCTCAAGGGAGCTGGATTACTGTAAACAAGTCCATACTGTTTATCTGGGACTGAAGAAAATTGACTTTAAACTGAAGCTTTTGTCCATGTTGGATTTTGATGAAGATCACATCATCTTTGGGTTAGAAGTCTTTCTGATATTTTATTGATGCACTAATGCTAGATATCTCACCCTTTTTATATCTTGTACAGGTCAGCGTATTGAAACTTACTGTCGAAGACTTGGAGAAAGAGAGAGATTTCTACTTTGGAAAGCTAAGGAACATTGAATTGATTTGCCAGGAGAATGAGGGGGAAAACGACCCTTTATTGCAGAGGATTGTAGACATTCTCTATGCCACAGACGTATGTGTTGACGTGAAGATATTTTCTTTTTATTTTGCCACCTAAGAGAAAATAAGTTTTATCCAGTTAGTTTTGGCAAACCCTTTACTGATGCTTGTTGTGTTCCAGTATAGTATTCATGAAAAGACTTCATCTTTGACCCCTCAGATTCAACCAGAGAGTACCGTTGATTAGCTTCAGCCTCTGCCTCAAGGTCTGTGAACCTTCAAGAAAGGAACAGGACAAAGAGGCAACTGGTTTGCCTAGTCTGCAGTTTGTGGCCATTGATAGGAGATGCACGCCACAAAATGCTCTTAGCCAGAAGCAAGCACCCTCCCCAGCCTGCCCCCTGCAGCTTGGACCACTCACAGTGGTTTCCACTATATCAGGGCCCCAGGCAAGCCCTGGAGAGCCAGACACGTGTCCTTTTTTCATGTCTGCTGCCCATAGCTGTCAGAATGTGACTTTTTTTCTCTCTCCAGGAGCTTGCCTGGGTTCCCATTCTCTCAGAGTGCTTTGTGATCACATTTCTTTGTATCCATGTTTAGTACACAGCCAGATCTGCTGATACTAATTGTGACATGTTAGCTGATCAGAGAAGACTGGTTTTTTTTTTTTTCCTTCTAGATTTGGGATTTGGAATCTTATTCTGTCCACTGTTTAATGGTTGTATTTATAGTTCTTCTGCATGCTTAGCAAAGTCTGTAGGATCAAACTACCAACTATTTGTAGTACGTGTAGTACTATACAAGTGTAAGGTAATAATTATGCTGTTATTATCATTGTCCTCTAGACAGCTCTTGAGAATATGAGGGATTAAGACAGAAGACTGTAAGGTTCATAATTTGTTAAATACATTGTTATTTAGGGCTCACTCTGCTAGATAATGAAAACCAAGATAATGAAGATATAGGGGTCCTTTTTCTTGCTTGAGTATTTAGTGGAGTCACATCTTAAGTTTAAGTTCCGCCTTAGATTTAATTAAAGCAAGATGGTGGTTGAAGGAGAAGCCTGATTTTCACCATGGAGCGGTATAGTCATTTCCTGCTCTAAGCACATGCCAGAGTGCCCTGGGGTGAGTGTGGGAGCCACAGCACTGCTCTCTCCTCATCTGTTTTCCCTGATGCTAGGATAGTCCTGGCTGTTGTGAGTGTTTTGAGTAAAGCATGGTACCTTAGTACAGCCAAAGGAAAGCATGAAGAAAAAGCCGGCTGTATAGACAGTTTATTGAGTGGATTTGGTGAGAGTACCGTACTTTACAGGGTTTCGCAAGGGTTTTTGAGGGTAAATTTTCTTTCTTTTTCAAAAACAATTTTATTGAATTAAAATGTACACTTGATGACACTTGTGAAATTATTACCATAAGCAAGAGTGTACAGATCCATCATTCCCAAAAGTTTGAGCGTAAATTTGTGCCTAGTTTTTGTCTTGTGTGAGATGCTATTCCACTGCCCAAGAAATAAAATAGTCACTTGGCCTGTGTTGTCAGATACCAAGTGTGCAGGAGAATCAGGAAGAACCAATGACTTTGAGAGGCTTTCAGTATGAGAACAGTGACCCCGCAGTAGAAATTGATCTTCTATTCGGTGTTGTAATAGCTTTCCCCTTTCATTTTCCCATTTCAGGAAGGCTTTGTGATACCTGATGAAGGGGGCCCACAAGAAGAGCAGGAAGAGTATTAACAGCCCGGATCAGAAGAGCAACATCTGAATTCTTCACTCCAAATCATGTGCTTAACTGTAAAATACTCCCTTTTATTCTTAGAGGACTCACTGGTTTCTTTTCATAAGCAAAAAGTACCTCTTCTTAAAGTGCACTTTGCAGAAGTTTCACTACTTTTCTGATAAGTTTGAATTAGGAGCTTTTACCTTGTAGCAGAGCAGTATTAACATCTAGTTGGTTCACCTGAGAAACAGAGAGGCTCACCGTGGGGCTCACCGTTGTGAATGCTGGTCACACTGGTCACTGGAGAAGGTGTTATGAATATGCTGAGGTGGTAACCTCAGGAGAGAAGTGTAAAGACTGAATTGAATTTTAAGCTAATGTGAAATTAGAGAATGTTGTGATAAATAAATGCCTTAAGAGTATTTAGAATACGCTTCCATATTTCAAAATATAAAATATAACATGATGGGAGATTTGACGTGTTTGGCATTGTGTCTGGGAAGAAAGGACCAGACCTTGGGACCTTTGGAGTCTGCTGTCACAGGCCTTAGGGGCTGCTTGAATCCTCATAGGCCTGGGCTTTGGTCCGAGAGGAATGTTTAAAAATTGCTCTGTAGATCCATTGGTGTCCTTGACCAATTGCATCCCTGCTAAAAAGCAAGAGGCATTGTTGGCTGGATGAATAGAGGGTGTGTTTCAGCCCTGAGAGGTTTGGGTTGAAGAGCTTGATTTTCATTTAGTGTTTATCTGACAGCTTTTCCAGTATCTCCCAAATTTCCATGTTTTATACTCTTTGGAAAACGAGGTGTGCCCGTTTTTCTTTTTTTAAACTAACGACTTTGGGGACTTGCCCGTGTGTCTGGGGTTAGAATGGGGCTGTGTCCCATTTTACCGTGTTTTAGAGTTACATTTAACACGTTTCTCTGCTCCCCTTGCCCACAGGGGATTCCTCTTTGGCTCTTGCAAGTTTACTGCTTAGAGTGGGAAGTGCAGAGGCAGGCCATCATGCTGCAAATCCTTGGGCCCTCTGGCAGAGGGAGTGATCAGTGAAGACTTTCCTGACCTTGGCATCTGCAGGGCTGGGGTGTTCTCGGGAATCTGCTGTCCACAGCTCTCCATGTTATTTGAATACTTTGCCAGTGCACTAATCTCTTTGGAGATGAAATTCATTAGTGTGTTACTAAATGTTAAGTTTCTTTTGCAGAAAATACAGTACCGTGTCTGAATTAATTATTAATATTTAAGATCTTTCACTCCTTGACTACCCCTCATTTACTTTGCCTATAGCCTGTTCATTTCCTTTGGTGGGTGGGATTCTGCCAAGTGTATCTCACCAACCACTGAGATTGTTCAGCCCTGATGTATTTGTATTGATTTGTTTTTGGTGGTAGCTTGTCCTAAAAATGTGTGTAGAAAGCAAGTATTTTATGATAAAATTGTTGTGTAGTGCATGCTCAGTGTGGAATTCAGAGGAAAACCCAGATTCAGTGATTAACAATGCCAAAAAATGCAAGTAACTAGCCATTGTTCAAATGACAGTGGTGCTATTTCTCTTTTGTGGCCTTTTGGACTTTTGTTGCCCTAAAATTCCATTTTATTGGGAACTCATTTTCCGCCTGGTCTTTCTTGTCAGGGTTTTTTTCTACTTTAAACAGTTTCTAAATAAAATTCTGTATTTCAAGAGTGTCATGTCTTCTGAATTTGTCTTGCCCCGGGCATATGCTTTTAGGTTCAATTGATGAGGTGCCAGTACTTCTTTTCTTAGATTAGGACTGATCTTTTCAAATCCTTCCCTATTTTTTCAGATGTGCTTATTTTTAAGCCTACTTCCCTTTTTCTTTGTTCACATTACATTTCACAGCCTCCTGCTGTTTTAAATTCTCATATTGCTGCAAGAGGTTTTTCCTCTCAGAAGTCCAAAGCTTGGCGTAGCTGCTGTGAAGCCTTTTTGAGGCATTTCCTCCGGAGAAATATAGTACGACAGTGTTTAGCAGATGACCATGGGGAGATTTTTTTTTCCTCTGAAAGTATGTTTCAAAAGTAGTTAACACAATCTCAGTCTGTAACATAATCTAAAATAGTTCCCTTTTTTTTTCCTTCTTTGTAAAATTCTATGCCTTTAGAAATGAGTTCAGAAGGAGACTTGCTGCCATATTCAGTGTGAAATAAAGTGACATGGGCAGAAGTTAGTTTTTTGTACATTTATGGATGCTGCTTCGTAAGCCCAGCTTGATGCCTTTGACTAGGGTTGCACCCACATTACTCCCTCCAGAAGTTAATGCTATGATGCCTCCCTTTGCACTCTGAGACACCTTCAGAAGGAATCTGACACCATATATACTGGTAACTCACAAGAAGATACCTCCAGGAGTGCATGGAGTTTGTGAAGATGCTATTGGGTGCTGTCAACTGAGAAGGACCTTGGTAAGGAGTGAAGCGGATGCCGTATCTTTGACCAAGTCTGTTGACCTTGCTTTTTAGTTTGAGGCACATCAAGTCTTTGCTGTTTGGTTTGCTTGGCACGTCTGTGTTGCATGGAGGATAGGTAAACAAAAGGGTTTTCTGGCCAGATTTGGTTTTAGGATTCATTCCTCATGCTGATGATCCTCAAACTGATGAGCTTCAGAATTACTTGGGGACCTTATCTGACATAATGTATTTATAAAGTTCATTACAGAAATTCTGAGTCGGAAGGTTGAAAATCTGCCTTTTAATATGTACCTCAGGTAGCCTGTACCCAAGGTTTACCTATATTCCTCCAATTTGAAGTCTTAATTCTGGCAAGGGGAACACGGATTTGAGTCCTTTTGCGGGTCTCTTCTAGCTTTGTGTTTTGAGCTAATTGACCTGTTCAGATAATGATGTTGGCTGAAGTACCTCCCTTACTGACTGCTCACTGGATTAGAATGAGCTGACAGATGATAAAAAAGCAATCACAAAGTTAGAAAACTCTGTACAGACAAGGCATTATTTATGGCATGGGTTCTTCAGATTCAGCCTGAAATTCTGCTTATTGATTAGAAAAAGCTCAGGACAGAGTTTTTGTATCTTGAGAGTTCAGGAGGACATTCCTTAAGTTAGATAGGCTTTGAATATTTTGTAAAAGTAACAAATTATTTTAATGTTTCTTTTTCAGCTTGGTGGTATTGACAAGTTGCTCCTTTCTGTCTTCAAACTGTGATAATCATTTTGTTCCCCAAGTGAAATTGAGGTCTAAACACATATTTCAGTGTTTCTTTTGAAATGACTCAGTGACTCAGATTCACTGATTTAAAAAATGATATTTCTTCAGGATTACTCTCTAGAATGTAACAGGGTTTTGAAATCGAAGCAGTTTTCTTCTGCTGTAACCGATGTGATTCTCTAGAGTTTTTCTTTTTAGGATTGCTTTATAAGATTTAGTATGAGGAGCTCCTTCTGTGATGTTTACCATAGTTCACTGCATAGTCCACAGACAGAAGTAGGCTTTAAGGCTGATAAGCCTAATCGGCTTAACACCATGTGGGTGACCCAGATCTGACCATTGTCAACAGAGAGTGGGAATGACTTGCTTTGAACCAACTGAACCTTAGTCTGTGATCAGTGTCATGAGCCACCAGTCATTTTTCTGGTTTGGCACTGTTGCTGTTTGCAATATGTCATGCTTCTGAATTCACGCATTCACTTGATAAAATTTCAAAGCCAGATGAATTTGTTTGTTTCTGTACCATCATGACACTTGCTGCTTTTTAAAAATAGTTTTCACACGTGAGGATATAACTGATATAACTGATGTGCAGAGTTCTTCTCTAAAAGCCTAAAAAGGAATTTTGACTGTAGTTTGAACCATTAACCTAGACAACTTCAGCCAAATTGTAGTGCAGCTATATCTTGTGAAGGTCTACCTTCTGTTTCCCTTTTGGCTTAATCTGAGTTGAAACATAGTGTTACCTTAGTCCTTGGAGTACAGAAGCTTTCTGGTGAGGTTGTAGTTAAGGAGGTTCGTTAAGTTAGTCATTTAGGTGAGGAGGCCTAGCCTTAAGAGTCAGATTTCTAGGCTCCTCAAGGCAGAACCTTTAAATCTTGGGGGGGGGTAAATATATATATATATAAAATATATAAATCAAATTTTTTTTTGAGTAGGAGTCTATGTCACTCAGGCTGGAGTGCAATGGCATGCTCATGGCCACTGCAGCCTTGACCTGCTGGGCTCAGGTGATCCTTCCGCCTCAGCCTTCCAAGTAACTGGAACTACAGGTACGTGCTACCATGCCCGGCGAATTTTTTGATTTATTGTAGAGATGAGGTCTCACCAAGTTGCCCAGGCTTGTCTTGGACCCATGGGCTCAGGCAGTCTTCTCACCTCAGCCTCCCAAAGTGCTAGGATTATAGGTGTGAGCCACCACGCCCAACCAAATCAAAATTTAAATAACTCATTTACTTTGTATTTGAGGCCTTCAGGATCTGAAATGTGAAATGAAAATAGCCTTTATGGACGTGTTTCTGAGTAAGGAAACACAGGACAACTGTGACCGTTTGAAAGCAAATCAGGTTACCCACTGAAGTGCAGTACTTTGTATGTGGCATCAAGACATAGATTTAGAATTGTAAAATGATTTGTCAGCAGTTTGGAATTCTATAAGGTATCTTGCCTTATTTACTTTTTAAAAAAAATAGTGATTAGAGTCTCATTATGTTTCCCAGGCTGGTCTCGAACTCCTGGGCTCAAGCAGTCCTCCTGCCTCAGCCTCCCAAAGTGCTGGGATTACAGGCATGAGCCACCGTGCTCATCCTTATTTACTTTTAAAAAGTTTTGTCCCATATTCCTGGCTGGCTTTGAGTTTGTAGTCTGAGAGGATTGTTGGTGAGGCTGGATGGCCAGGTACAGGTATGAGGCAGAGAAGGAAGAGTAATTTATTCCATTTACTGATGACTGGAGCTTGACTTTCAGGTTTGGTGGGAGAGTGAGATGTGGGAGGCTTTTGATAGGTGGGATTCAGTTCCTTTTTATTTTGAGTTGAGGTTTTGCTCTGTTGCCCAGGCTGGAGTGCAGTGGTGCGATCATGGCTCACTGCAACCTCTGTCTGCTTTGTTTAGGCGATCCTTCCACCTCAGCCTCCCACATAGCTGGAACTACAGCATGCCTGGCTAATTATTTGATTTTTGGGGAGAGACGGTTTTGCTATGTTGCCTGGGCTTGATCTTAAACTCCTAGGCTCAAATAGTCCTCCTGCCTCAGCTTCTCAAAGTGCAGGGATTACAGACATGAGCCACTGCACCTGACCAATCAGGGAAAGTCTTTTTTTTTTTTTTAAGAAGGATTTGTTGAGAGGACAGAAAAGCTCCCACAGTGGGAGGGGACCTGAAGGGGTTGCCCAGGGTAAGTCTTACCACTGCATTTATGGCTCTTACTAATTTCTGATGGGGGCAGAAATGAATCTTTAAGATTTAGTCTTAAATGATTCACAAGTTGTAATAGAGACTACTAAAGTTAAGTCCATAATCAAGCATACAAGTGAGAAGACTGAATATATGAGGAGGAGGTGTGGCCAACACCCCCTCTCTGACTTTTACCAGGGTCCTCCAGGCCCTGCCTCCCAGGTCTGCAGAGCAGACTCTTCATTGTTTCAGTGAGGAGATGAGCCCTAATGATTCTGAAAAAGTTACTGGAAAAGTTTCTTAGCATCAGTTGCATATGTCTTGCATGTAGATTTTTAAAACAATTCTCACTTTTGACATTGTTGTGAATAGAACTTTTGTATTTTAATAAAAACTGGTTTTGGTTTTGACAGGAGTAGTAACACAGGTGGTTCACCATGTGTCTCTGGCTTTCCCCCATAGGTTGCAAGCTGGGGAAAGCTCTGCTAGTGTCAGTCCTGAATCCGCTAAGCGTATTGTGCAGGACCTGTCGTGGTTTATCCTTATCTAAGCTTGGGTGACTTTCAGGTTTCTCTCTCTTTCTTGCTTCTCCCTTGCTGTATCATGTTCATATTTACACTTCTTATCATGAGGCCCGTTTATATATTTTGAAGTAGTTCTAATGGTTTTCAGATCCAGCATAACTTCAGGGTCATCTGAATTTTAGCATTTTACCGAAGTTTTCTTTTTTTTTTAAAGTAGGAGTCTCACTCTGTTGCCCAGGCGGAGTGCAGTGGCACGCTCACGGCCACTGCAACTTCGACCTGCTGGGCTCAGGGGATCCTCCCACCTCAGCCTTCCAAGTAGCTGGAACTACAGGCACGTACCACCACGCCTGGCTAATTTTTTTTGTTTTGATTTTATTGTAGAGACGAGGTCTCGCCAAGTTGCCTGGGCTGGTCTTGAACCCGTGGGTTCAGGCAGTCCACTCGTCTTGGCCTCCCAAAGTGCTGGGATTGCAGGCTGAGCCACCGGGCCTGGCCTACTTGTTTTCTAACTTTATATAGTTTTTTTATGGGGGTAGTTTATGTTTTTCTAACTTGATATAGTTTTTTTAGGGAGGTATTGTATGTTTTCCTGCAAGATAATGCAAGTTAAACATGCATAATCCTATGAATCTGCTTGTTTTACAAGTACTTTGACATATTAAATTCCTTTTGGGAGAGTGGACTTGGCTACTGTAATCTTCATAGGCAGCTATAGGCTACCCCAGGTTGCCGCTCCTTCCCCATTAATCCTAAAGCCTGAGAGAAGAAGTAATAATTTATGATTTAGTGTGGAATGAAAT